CTATAATCGAGGAACCACCAGACCACCTCCGATGAATCCTCAGATCACTCGCCCGCCCCCTTACTGTGTATCGCTCACTGACTTGGACGACTGCAGGTGCATGCACTGATGAGCTTCTTGACATGAGAGCCAGTTCCCCAGCGGAGTGAAGAAAATTACATGAACCTTCACGGGAGTCACTCCTCAGTTCTAATACCGTGTTTGTCAATTAATTATCATTTAGTTACAAGTATATCTGATATGTCTGAACAACAAAGTGGTCAAAAATCATTGTATTTATTTTTTGGAAACATTTTCATGATCGCTTTTTTCGTTTTACTTTTTCATTTATTATCATTTCCATTCAGTCAGTCATTAAGTGCTATTTAAAATGTTAATTTGCTACATATCCAAACAAACAAACAAAGTGTGCAATCCAATGAATGTTAATCTAACTGGGTTTTGATATATTTATATCTCTTTTTCTTCTCGCAATTATTTTTATTTATTTTGTGCACTCTAATCAATATTAATCAAACTATTGTTCGTTTATACATTTTAAGAATGGCGTTGATGATACAAATGTTTGTGTCAGTAAATGTGTAGGCTACTAACAGAGGCGGGGGTGTGTGTCGAAATAACGGGGACAGAGCTGGCTGCTGTCTGACGATCAGCTGTGCAGCGTCATCACAAACGGACGTCGCTTCACGTGACGCTCCGGAGGAAAGGACGTCCCATTGCTCTTAAAACTCATTTCCCTGCTTCTCGTGGTTTCCTTGCGTCCCTCCATACTTCCCTGGTGGGAGGGACTAGTCACAGGGAAACGACGCAAGTGAGGAACGCAAGGAATCCATTTAACCAAAGTGAGAAAGGCCCCATGTACATTTCCTTGAGTCCTGCACTGAAGCACCATTTCACAGTATCACTTCACAACATCTTACAGGTAAATATTTAACTTTTTCACTCAACTACATCTTAATACATTTAGTTACTAGTTACTTTGCAAATCTTAATCTATTACATTATCAAGTGACTTTATTTATAGCACATGTCAGAGAGAAAGTTCCTTAACACACAATACAAAAATACAATGCATTTAAAAAAAAGAAAAGACAATTGGAAACAATTGCAAAAACAACTCTTAACTAATGAGGTATGCTTCTATGTCAAATAATTTCCCAATTAATTAAGAATAAAGTATATCAAATTTAATCTAATCTGATTATGTAATGGAACATAATAGTACATTTACTTTTTTACTTTAAGTATACTGATGCTACTATTTTCATTATCTTATCTAAGGTCATCTTATAATGCAGGACTTTTACCCGTATTAAGGTGTTTCTATAATGATGTATTGCTATGCTAAGGAAACCTATCTTAAAACCAGCCATACTAAATGTACTAGGAAGTGAGACAGCGGACATATTTCGGGCAGTTATGGAATTTATTGGTGTCAAAGAGGAAGGGACAATAAGTGCATGAATATTAGTCAGACAGGGAATAATGCAGAAGTTACAGCTAAAAAAAAGCACTAAAGAAAGACTCATTTGAACACTGAAATATAATTTCTCAGACAGCATTTCTCTAAACTGCTCTCGGGCTTGTTAAAGAAAGGCTCATTGGCACCATGGCAGAGCTCAGTTTCAACAAGGATCACGGCTATCTGGAGGGTCTGGTCCGCGGAATGAAGGCTGGGATCCTGACTGACACCGACTATCACAATCTGGCCCAGTGTGACACACTTGATGGTAAGCATGTTGGTGTTGGGGAAGCTAATTTACAGGCATTGGATGAGGTAGAACTGTATACATCCAGATGGGAATTATTGAGTCAGAGAATGCTCTAAAATTACAACAGCATAGGAAAATTCAAAGTAGAGTACATACTATTATATGTAAACAAGTGAAAAAATATAATTTGATACAAATAAGGCAATTAAAGTAAAAACTCTTAGAGCAAAAAAAAACTGTAGATGTTCCAAATAATATTGATATGACTGTTGTTCTTAGTGTCAGATTTTTCAGAAAAATGGGGAGGACTTGCATAGTTTGACGGCCACTGGTAAAAAATACCTTTTCAACAGCTTTGACAATTAAAAACGACTTTACTACAGCAAAGCAGAGACATCTAGTTTGGCTAGCAAAAGCTACTTGGAATAAGTAGTGCAAGCTACTTTGAGCATTTCTTGATCAGACTGACAATATTTATTTTTGTGAATCAAAATTATTAACGTAATATAACGTAAAAAAGTAAAATGTCTCTCAACTGAGTTATTTTAGGGTGCACACTTGAATGCTGGTCCTACATAAACAACATAAGAAATATACTATCTTAGACCATTTGACAGACTTGAGTAATGGTCTAAAAAAAGGAAACATGCCAGTTGTCTGCTATCAGAGGGTAATTTACTGCAGTGTAACTGACAGGGATCATCTTTTCTAACCTGGACCCAGTTTTTCAAAACAGTAATCTGATTTTCTTACAAGGTAATAGGCATTCCTTTCTGGGAGACACATAGGCTACAGGGCAAGTCAGTGTGGATGAAGACAAATGACTTGTTAGTGTTGAGCTCAAGACTGTGTACAGTATATTTTCAGGAATGTTTATTTTCCCACTCACCAGTTCTGTAAGTTTGTGGATCTTGGAAATTGTTTGAGATAGTTCTCCTAACAGACCCAATGCAGTTTCTTTTTCACCATATGTGTCCGCCATCCGCTGAAATCCGTTTAACAAATTGGTCAAAAGTCAGGGAGTGCCATGTGTGAATTACATACTGTATAAACTTCCTGTTTTTCTTTTGTAAATGCAAACTCCCAGGAAGCCGTTGTGGAAAAACACTGATTTGAGCTCAAGTTAAGCTATGAGGACGATAAATGTTGTACAAAATGTTCTTTTCTTTCCCCAGACATGAAGCTGCATCTGCAGAGCACAGATTATGGTAAGATGCTGTCTTCGTCTGAGGAGGACCTGACTGTGTCTCTGGTGGACAGCAAGCTGAGGGAGAACCTGGTGACTGAATTCAGCTGCCTTCGCTCCAACGCCCTGCCTCCATTATCCACCTTCCTTGACTATATAACGTACGATAATGTAATTCATTAAGAATTATACAAAGATCACAAGACATAGTTCCTGTTTTAATCTCTCCATATATCTTGCTTTCTACAAGTCCCAAATCCAATCCATTTAAATGTTTAATTTCACAAATCTTTGTGTGCTACAAGATTCAAATGCTGTGTCTCAATTCACGTACTTCTTTACCTAGCTAAGCTATTTTAAGTGTGACCCAAAATTCAGGTACCGGGATGATTTTTCGTAACAGTCAAACAGTTGAGTGTGAAACGCTGGGGACTTCACGCACTCAATGATAACCACTTTGGTAACTTGACGGAAGTTGTGTGACCTGCCAAGATTGCAGTTGCTCTGGTGAACACAGCATTATACAATTAAAAAATATACTTTATATTATTTTTACTATTTAATAAACACAGCAGTATAGTGTTGTTATAAAGAAGCAACTGTTCATTTAATAGTGAACGGTCGTTGCTAGCTAGCTAGCAACAACCAGGCATTCGCTAGATAAAGAAGTACGTGAATTGAGAGATACGACGGGTTTCCAACTTGCTAGCTCGCTCGTTAGCTAGCAAATGTGGACATTTCAACCATCAGCCGTCGTCTTAAAAATGTGCACTGCTTCACAAAATGTGTATTCAAATTGAGTCAAAGCAATGTATAGGTAAACATTTTCTTAAAATTTAAAATAGTTCAATATGCCTTAAGTAAAAGGGATGTAATATAAAATGCCATGCACACAAATGAAGTAACATCTATTTACTCTGTGTTGCCATAGCTACAGCTACATGATCGACAATGTGGTGATGCTGATCACAGGTGCCCTGAAACAGAGAGATGTGGCAGAGGTTCTCCCACGTTGTCACCCACTAGGAGCTTTTGATCAGATGGCAGCAGTGGGCATCGCTCGCACCCCGACTGAGCTCTACTCGGCCATCCTGGTGGACACACCACTGGGTAGGGTCATTCAATCCTTTGTGTTTAACTATAACTCCTGAAGATGGTAACTATAGATAAACTCTCAAATAAGATTTAACACCTGAGATGATTTTATATCTCCAGTGTTAAAGTGAAAATTGAATTGTTTTATAATGGGGAGGAAACATTTTCAAAAACCGAAGTTTGATGAATAGGGACCCTTTATGGTTGGAGATCAAATTAAATATAAAAATATATCATTGTTTAACACCTAAAAGTGGGAGTGGAATCATCTGTGTTTATATACTGTATAAAATATGTGATTGTGGAGAAGGTAGGAGACTCATTGACTATAGGCGCAAACGGTACATAAGTTAACTTTTCAATGCGCTAAACAATTAGGTAAAGTTCAGGCAGTGACAATACTGTAGCTCTCGAAGCGTCTTTATATTTTCTCTGTTCTCCATTCTTTTTCACTCTGAATTTGATCCAAATTTCAATCAAGACTTGCCAAAAGAAGAAAAACACTCCCTCTACTCTTGGTACCTTGACCTTATGTTCCCTTATCCTGTGTTCACTTGGCCTTAAGTTCCCTCACCCAACGTAACCTCTGCTCTTTCTACATCATCCAGTGTTCACTCACCCAGTGTTCAGTTTTTCCCTTAGTCTATGTTCCCTCAACCGGGGTTCCCACTGGCCCATGGTTCCTCAGCCTATATGTTCCCTCACGCGACGTTCTCTTAGCCTATGTTCCCTCTCCAATTCTTTTCTCAGCCTATGTTTCCTGCCCCTGTGTTCCCCTGTCAAATGTTCCCTCAGCCTATTGTCCCTTGCCCAATGTTCCTTGAACATATTTATCCAAATTCCCATAAGGCGATGTTCCCTCACTCAATGTTCCTTTAGCCTATTGAGGTTTTCCAAACACATGAAGTGGCTTGGCTCAAATCTGTTTGACGACACAGGGATTTGCATTTTCACTTCAACAGGACTACTCACTTAAAAGTGTGTCCTGATCCTCGGGAACTCGGGATCTAAGTAGTGGCTGTATAAATGGTGGATAAACTCATTTATATCCCTATTAGTTTTAACAATAAAAGTCCCCCTCTATTTGTTATGCTTACTCTTCCTCCCGGCAGTATTAATAGTCTGGTTTTTATTGAAGAATAGCCATTTACAAAGCTTCACTTTGGAGCCAAATATAAATCACTGAAAGCTGACCACATAGACTTTATAAAGCGTATGTCTCTCTTGTGTCACACATGAGATCAAGGCACGGTCACACAACAGCTTGGTGGGAAAGGGAGAATTAGTTTGTATTCTGTAGGTTGGTTTGGCCCAACTCTGGAGATAGTAAAACTATGCAAAACAGCGACGCCCAGCTTGACTGGCAATCAAAATGGCCAACGAACAGTATTTGTTCGGGAGAGGGACGGCTTCAGGAAAGTCTTGGTTGGATTTTACCCTGTGTTTTTATCCACCTTCTCCAAAAAGTTGAGAAGTGAGGTTATATAAGGGACCATCATTAGTCTCTTTAAGTTGAGGAATATTCTTTTGGATTGTTTTTTAATGTTGCATTGAGTGAATTACAGGAACATAGGGACATAGGTCTGAGAAAACATTGGCAAGCAACACAGCTAATAAAATATTATGACTTTTTCCGTTTTTGACTGTCAGGCTTACTGCTCCCTCCACCGTCAACACCATCCATCCATCATCAAGACAATTTTCTATTGGTCAACCGGTCAAAGTTCACAAACACGGATATTCCATCGGAATTGAATCATTTCACGGCCAATTTGGTCTTTAAGCTGCTCGAACAGACATTGAGTTATGCTAGAGACTAATGATACCACTGTGTTGTTGTGTAAAAGCTCCGTTTTTCCAGGAAGCTGTATCCGATACCAACCTGGATGAAATGGAAGCTGAAATTCTCAGAAGCAAGCTGTTTAAGGTGACTACAGGGTAAAATTATACTATAAAGCGGTAATGTGTGTGTCTGTGTGTTCATATAAATTCTGGACTGTTGAGTTTTAGGACAATGTGCTTACCCTCTTCCTTTGGGGTCAGGGTTTTATGTTACAGACACTTAAAGACTTTTTTAAAGATATGATGAATATGTGTTTCTTTAAAGGCATATTTAGAGTCTTTCCACTCCTTCTGCAAGAGCCTTGGTGGAGCCACAAGAGATACAATGTGTCCTGTCCTGGAGGTACTGTGAATAGACTTTATACATATTTTGACGTAGACCGTCCTTTTCATGCTAGGAATCATTCAAGTAGGTCTTAAGTCCCATATTTCTTATTATGGTCATCTCACCTAAATGTAGTCAAATAACATACAGAGCTGTCTGACCAGAACTGATAATACCAATATTTGAGGAGTTATCTTTAGATAAAAAGCTAATTGCTGCTGCACAGAATTAATACATGATGGGAAAGGGCTCCAAATTGGAGTAGTACAGTGATGACGTAAAATTGTAGCTAACCGGAAGGGGCATCATATGATAAACATAATCACATTTGGCAGGATATTCTCCACAAATGAACACCTCTTTGTGATTGTGGAAAGATATTCGGCAGTAATAAAAAGCTATAAACAAACTACGGTCACATGAGTAGTGTATTTAATGTCGCAGAACAAAACGTGAAAATATAAGCTTGTGAGTCTTATTTGCGGCCTTTAACCAAAAACATGTTTACATTTTTTTTTACTATGAGACGATGGGAACCAGAAGTGGTAAAGAACATGCTCCATGCCAAAAATGCTAACAAATGTTACGCGTTGTAGGACTCTTTCCTGCATCACTCACAGTGGCAGCAGGGTGGCCACATCTATGTTTCCTTGTTCTTTAGTCATTGTCAATCCTCATGATCAAACTTCATTTAAATCTTAGTATTGTTAGACATCAGCTCCCTGTCTCCAGCATCCTCTTTGTGTTTTCTAGCATATTACTCGTAGAATTTCCTTCACAATTTCTTCAAGTTTTTACTACGTAAGATTTCTTTTTGCTAAAAATGCTGTGTATGTGCTTCAGTTTGAGGCAGACAGGCGTGCGTTCATCATCACAGTGAACTCCTTCGGGACGGATCTCAGCGGAGCAGACAGGAGTGTGTTGTATCCATCTTGTGGCAAACTTTACCCTGAAGGACTGCAACTGCTGGCCAGGGCAGAGGACCATGAGCAGGTCAAAGCTGTGGCAGACTGCTACCCAGTGAGTCCAAACACATTGCCTGCTGTGTTATGACTGCACTTAATCAAAGTCGTAAACAAGGTTAACATGAACCCTAACCTCTTTGCAGGGCTACAAGATCATTTGTGATGACCCTGAGCCAGAATCAGGATGCAAGACTCTGGAAGACAGATTCTTTGAACAAGAGGTAATATCATTTGAAGGTTCTTCAGACTTTAGTGTCCCATGAGGATGTGCAATCTAGCTGTTGAAGTTTGGGACCAATATATTTGGACCAAGCACAACATTTCACACAAAATGTACCTTGAAAGTACTCACAGGAGGATTGTGGCCACATGTGAAAATAACATCACAATGAGTTTACAGCCCTCATTGTGGTGGTAGTAATCATCTTCCGTAGAAGGCAGTTTGTTTACATTATTTTCACTGACGATATGTTAGTGAACATTTTGGGATAACTAAAATATCTATCTATCTATTTGTGTTGTAAGTGCCTTTCTGTGTCTGTTAGAACTCTCATTATCTACCTTTTCCCAGGTGAAGTTGAACACACTTGCTTTCCTGCAACAGTTCCACTTTGGAGTATTTTACTCCTACATCAAACTGAAGGAGCAGGAGAGTCGTAACATTGTCTGGATCGCAGAATGTGTCACACAGCGACAGAAGTCCAAGATACACAACTACATACCTATCTTCAAATAAATTAACGGAGCGTGATTGGTACATTTTGGGGTGTTTTTCTTCTTCAACATGTCTTCTTTTAGGCTCGTGAAAGAAAACATCCAAAATCAACATGTGGGTGTTTATTTGAGTAACTTTGTTTATTTATGTATGTAGATTTCTCCTAAATTCACCGAAATCTAGAATTAGATAATCCCTTATTCGCATATTTAACGAAAACATCAACAGCAAAAAAACGGTAATTCAAAAAAATGTGGATTAATTTAATCAACTGGTGAAGTTTCATTTTGATTTTCTTAATTTTTTTATGTTTACCCTCTTCTCTATAAGTTCTGTCTTTAATAAACAATCGTAAGATAGCATACAACAGGTAATGCACTTTATCAAAAACATTTGTTGATGTCTTCATAGTCCAAGTTTGCTTGTTAGGATCAATTACTTTGGGGTAAAATAGTTATATAATATAAAAAATGAGGCCTTGTGATTAATAATAAACTTGCTGTAGTTATAGTATGTTCACATTCACGTTCCTGGCCCAATATCTGGATGTCTAAATAGTGAGGTATAACAATGTGTAAATATACAATTAAGAACAAAATGCAATACAAAATATAAGTAATGTAGCACAAACAGTGGTATAAAAGTATAAATGTGTCAGTTTTAGCAGCTAACAGATATCACAAATCCGCCATGTTCACTCTTCATCAGCGCGTCCGGTCAGGCTTTCACTAAATAAAAAAACAGAAACATATCAGGGCAGTTCAGAATCGCAGACTTTAGAACATGGTGTGAGTCTAACCAGTCACGTCCTTGGTTGTGTAATGGCCTGACTTACAGCAGTGGACTGGGACCTCCAGAGGTATGTAGTTCTGCCGGCAGAGATGAACAAAAGCAGATGCTAATCTACAGGGTGCTCTCCAGGAGCTCAGTTTACACACCGACCAGAACCGACTGGGATCCACCTGACAACAAAAACACTTTGTAAACATGGAGCTCAGAAACAATCACATACATTGTCATTCGTTTGCTCAATGCAAAGCCCTTATATAAGATTATTATTGTAGATCAGGGGGATTCAAAGTCACGGACTGTAGGCCTCTTGCAATGTTTGGAAAAAATTGTGCCTTCACCCTGTCTTACTTTTGCTCAATTCCAGGATGCCTTTGGGATTATGATAAGGTTATTTGAACCCTTAGGCCAGGGGTGGGGAACCTAATATTTTACCATGACTCGTGCATGCATTCACGTGCACGGTTGTGGCATGACCACCAAAACAGAAAGCATATTGGACACAAGATGTTTGCAAAAGTATTTAGTTTCCTATCCATGTGGACTGCTTTAAGTGGGGGGGACCTAACCTCCTCTAGGGGGGTCCTCACCTCCTCCAGTGGGGTCCGGGGGGCATGCTCCCCCGAGATTTTTTTTTTAATGTTGAAGTTAAAAGCATCAATCTGGTGCACTTTGAGAGCAACATTAGGAGATCTATGGATAGATCTCTCAACATCAATATGAAACAGAACTGTAAGCAGATTTATTTTTCTTTATGGATATTTTACAAATCACTCCCCTTTCAAACTGTATTCTTGTTTATTAATAAAAAAAATATTTACTGTCATATAGTATTTTATACCTGTTTACTTTATTATCTTGTTTTTTTATAACTATAATGATCATATAAAGATGTGCCTTTACCTCACTGGTTGTAGAAAAAGCTTCTTATATTCGTTAGCATAGCTAGCTAACCAAATGCTAATAACAACAAAGTTATTGACTGTATGATCAGTATGACAGATGAACAGATCGCCACTGGGATTACAACTAAAGACACAGCCACGAAAATACTGCGGCATGTGTCCGGCTCTTTATGGGTACGACGCTCTGGTGCTCTCCGTCAGAAGAACTGCACCCCTGTCAGACGACACATATACCACGTGATGACACGTTAGGCTCGTGTTGTGTTCAAGGACCCTGACCTTGGCCAGGAAAAACAGGCACTCGCTTGTTTAATTTTTTTGCGGTTTAGATTTCTTTTCTTTTTTTCTTTTTTGCGTGTGTTTATAAATTACCTCGAGGGCCGTAGCAAATGGTCTCGCGGGCCGTATACAGCCCGGGGGCCGGAGGTTCCCCACCCCTGCCTTAGGCACTCAACAATTTAACCAACATATCCTTATATTGCCGTTTGACATAACACAGACTACACTAAATACATAATAGATGACATGCTAAGACTTTTATCAGTTTGGGATTCTGGGAAAGTATGAAAAACTTCTCTCTGAACTATCACTCAAAAATAAATCACGCACATTTGGGCTATACTATGCGATCTTATTTTGCTATTATAATGACTCACTTGACATTTCAAATGAATATTTCCCCCTTTTTTCCCCCTTGCTTAGAAACTCCTTCTATGGGTTAGGCAGGTGTAAACGCGTAACACTGGTCAGAAACCAATGCAAAAGAAGAAACATCTCAGATCAGATATGCAGCGTTTGTTGAGCGCTTGTTGACAGTGACAGTTGGCTAGTTTAATAATCCCTGAATGTCAACAAGAGTTCTTGTCCCAGCTGTGTGCGTCACTTTCTAGTATCCCTGTTTCCATTTTGTTTTTGCAGCTTTTTCATTTATGCAACACTTTGAAGAGTTCTTGGTGAATGTTTTGTAAATACTGCGCATGTGTTGTGAAGTTGGTGACAATGTGTTTTTCATTTGCATGTGTTTTAGCATATTTGTGTTTTAACATTTGCATAGTTTATGAAGCTGCAGCGCGTTTGTCCTAATGGAAATGTTTTGGGCCGTTGTAGCGCGGTTGCACTTGTCGGCCACCCTAGATTTGAGATTGAAGGCATACTCTTAGGCTTTTTTTCTGTTGAATTTATACTGTGTGGAAAATATAAGTAAATAAATAAAATAAGTAAGTAAAATATATATTTGACTAGTAAATGTATTTTGAACTAACTACATGTATGCACAAAACGAGTAAATAAATAAAAAGTTTAAATATATATATACTGTATGTTTTTTTCACTTCGCTGAGCCTCCACTGAAATTGCGTGAAGCTCCCTTGGGAAGCTGGTCTCACAATTTGCTTTAGATAAACATATGTATATTTGGTTTTCATTACTTCTGGCAGGACTAAGAAATTAAATGCACTCATTGACACAAGTTTTTTAGCTTTATCTACCCTATGAGTGGAGTTCAGTACAGATGGATCATGTTTGTTCTGACACATTAACATTGCTCATCATGTCCGGCTAATTATTTTATCTTATCTTTGTCATGAAACCATTGGCATCAGTTAGGTCTGCCAGGTAGGCGCTGTGCCAGACACATGTTTTTAAATTGTGTAACATCCACATCCATCCTCACAAGACGATGATAAGGCTCATTAATAACATACCGCTGGGTAAGAATTATTCACTCGCACGAGCGTGTTTGCACTCACCACCCTGAAACAGGAGCTCAGCGGGGAATCAGGAGAGGAGAACAAAGAGTCACAGCTGGGAGGGCCAGTGGCTGCTTGAGGGAGGTGCTCTTTTACACCTGGATCTTTAATACAATCCAGATTCATCTGAAAAAAACAGACACAATAAATACTTTCTTGAAGGGTTGTGTCTATTGTATATAATTGAAGTGTCTCACTTGTCCAACCTGCCAACTATGGAAGAACTCCTCCAAATGTTCAGCCTGAGAACCATCAAGCAAAGGAAAATCGTTCCCGGATTCATTGTCATTCGTTCCCAACAGACCAGTGGACACACCTATGTAGAAGAAAACATGTTGTTCCCAATAATGAGGATCAGTAGGATATTTAATCTCAGGACTCACGTCAAATCTTTCGTTTTAGACCTACCATGCAACCATCCATCGAGAGTGAAGCTGCACAGCTCAAGCAACAGGTCACATGACACTGACGCCCCATTCTGATTGGACATCTGCACAATGTTTGACCCTCTTCTGACAGTTACTCCATTGTCACTGTGAAATGTGCGCGTAACATCGTGGTTGCAATTGGCCTTCACCTAGGACACAAACATGTATTTTATTTATTTTTAAAGGCACGTTGAAAGAAGTCCGTCTGCTGCAGTTTTCATTTTGTTCTCTGACTAAACACAGTCCACTCTTCTAATTATTTGGAGTCCCCAAAATTAACACGTACCTGTCCATTGTGCTGAATGGTGACGGTGCTGTTATTCATTTCTATGAGAAGGAAGTCTGTATTGCGCAGCAGTGTGAATGAAGGCTCAGCACTGACGTCTTGAGCAAGGAGCAGTGCACAGGAGGGGGGGAGCTCATACAGATGACCATCAAATGTCACCACAAACTGATCCGCCACCAACAGAGCTTGGTCTGAAAGAGAAAAACAGAAAGAGAGAGACATCATTAGAATTACAAGAATAAAGGAAATATTTCACCTACAAAATCTCATTTACCCAGTTGTATGCTCACGATCTAAAACACATGCATTTTCATTGAGACATTACTATTTAAATGTCGCAATGAAGTGGAAGTGGTCATATAATGGAAAACTCAAAGGGACATTGTTTGGGGTAAAGTATTCCTCTAAGTCCTAAAGTTGCATTGCGTTTCTTACTGAAAAATGTGTCTTACGTTTAAACGGGCTGTCTATCATCTTCCTTTTGAGACGGTAAAGTTCAGCTGTGGGCCTGACTGTGGCGAGGGTCTGCAGGGGTCTCAGGAGCCACTCCTCCAGAAGGATTTCTACCAGTCCAGCCTCGGACACCCTGGACCAGGGGAGCGGTGGCAGCGGCACTGACACAACCACCGAACACTCACTGAAAAAAAAAAAGAAAAGGCAACTAGGTTAAAAATATCTTACTGGAATAATTTTCTTATTAACTTACATATTTTTTATTAAGATTTTGGAATGTAACAGCAAATACACAACTATGAAGTTTGAGTTTATATACATTTTCACTACAGTGAGGGACACAGAGGGGACACAATTGTATGTATACAAGACATGAAAAAGTGGATTTTACATAATAATTGCCCTTTAACTACTTCATGACAGAATATTGGAGATAAAGCCGCACATGAAAATCATGAAATCTGTCAACCCTTAGCTCATCCACCTGTCATTCAGAGGACATTCCAACCTGGTCTTTAAAACCTGTATTTTAGGCAGGTGGTCAGAATATTTTATCATTATTAACTACTCCCTGTCTTTTGCCACTTTTTACCCCTTCTTGAAGAAACCATGGTTAGATTTATCTGTTTTTACACATTTTAGGCCTATCTCCAAGCTTTTGTTTTCATCCAAGATTTAGGAATACAAATATCTTCACACAGTTGATTTTTTTATGTTTAACAAAAATCTTACCATTGAAAAAATGTAATCTGGTTTTCAAGCTTGACACGACACATGGTTTTGAAATGACTTACTGCTTGTATCTTTGTCATTCGTGGAGCCTCTCGTGATCCTTACTTTTGTGGGTGCCCCCCAGGGCTCTATACTGGTTCCTCTTGCCACTAACTTGCTATCCCTCGGGCAAACCATGCCAAGTATAGACCTTAAATGATATGCAACTGTATGTCCCTTGGAACCTGACACAACTAATGTTTCCTATATTATGTCTTTGCTCAATGATAATAACAATAGGACATCCTAAAATGTTGTAATTTCAAAAAAGAGGCCCGCAACCTGGTAGTTATTTTCAACTCAAGTCCTTATTTTCTTCTGCAGAGTAAGGAAAGGCCTTCATGCTTTTATCTCCTCCAGAGTTAACTACCGCAGTGCTTTGTATTGTGCTATCAGCAGGCAAAACATCTAAGAAATACAAGGCAGAGAAACTCAATAACCTCTATCTTTTCGTAAATGTCACTTTTATCTTTTAAACCTTTTCTTAGAGACAGAGTATTCAATTTCACTTTTTTTATATAGTTTTATATCTTTCTTTCATGATTATTAAAACTTAAGGAAGAATATGTCCCTCCACTGACCTCTGTTCATAACTGAATGAAAGGAATATTTAAATAAAAAATGTGTTTCATGGAGCTTTTCTATATGTTTATGTGAGACATGTGCAGTACCTGGGGGAGAATTTGTAGGCAGAGGCCAGGCGTTTCCTGACCCCAGACAGAGCCATCGCCAGCCTGGTCTCCACCCAGTGGTTGGCATGCTTTCCTGCCTGGTTCACAGAACACCATCAGTCATCGTTCCATTTTACAAGTTTATCATCATATGACAGGGCAGGGAGGAGGGGGCAGCGGATATGGCTTGGGTAAATGTCCAATTGGCTTCTTGTTGTCACGGTAACCAGGGCTATGCTTAGTTCAAGGTTGTTCTACACAAATATGTGTGCGAGTGCGAGTGAGTGTGAGTGTGAGTGTGAGTGTGTGTGTGTGTGTGTGTGTGTGTGTGTGTGTGTGTGTGTGTGTGTATAAAGTAAAGTAAAGTAAAATGAACATTGTTCTACTCTATATTTTATGTTTACCATTTTTTTTTTACATAACTTGAGAGGATTTCGCATCACTACAAATAGATTATGATGGTAAAACACAAAGTATCCCAGTTTATGAAAACCAAGTCAAGAGCTCTTTCAGGTTTTTGAAACTTGGATATTTAGATGCAGACAACATAAACAAGTTACCCTACTGTAACCCTAAACCCAACTCGGATTGTAGTTCTTAAATGTCAACACATTATTTTAGTCAGCGAAATTGAATTTACCAGGGCTGTCAATGTTAACGAGTTGTTCAAATATTTCCTGTAATTCCAGCATAGATGTTTACTATGAATCGCATGGCAGTGCAAAGGCAAACAAAACGGAGAAGTCGGCACGAGCTACATGTATCTGCAGACTGGAGACCACTGGACATCAGTGAGCAATGGAACACCTCATCCAACACAAATGGCAACTGCACTTGTTGGCTTTAGGTGTGGTTAGTACAGAGGTAAGGCGCTTTGCTGAACCATGCTCCTGTAGTTGCACAGGAGTGGGAGAAAGCAGACAGTCTCCACTGTAGGACAGATAGAGCCCGCAGTATGATAGCGGCAGAGATAACATGCCATGCATGTGTAGCGCACATTATATGAGTGGTATCACAGTGGCTCTCTGTGACATCAGCTTTGTCTATGCTTTAGCTGTCAGACTTCATTCCATAAATTCAGATATCATGTTATAATAAAGTAAAAAACCCTATGATTTCTATTAGCAGTTTGTCATACACACCACACGTGGTTTCTTTTTCTCCCCCAAATACGAGTAAACACTAGTATTTGAACTATATTATTGTATTTAAGTGTTTTAATCGTTGAAAGCACTAGAATTTGCTAATCTTACTATAACGTTTGTTGCTAAGAAAAAAGTATTTCTCACCACATCCAGGGCGGCGCTGAGCGTGGTGACCCCGGCCTGAGCCAGGGGCCTCAGCTGAGGGTTCCCAATCAGCACAGGGAGGACATGCATCAGCCCGTCAGTCCACAGAGAAACAGCCTCCCTCCACAGCGCCTCCACCCTCTGGCCCTTCACATCTTGGTACACACCTGCCAGAGTGGCCAGGGGCCCTGAGAATAGAGCAAAATGCATTAAGATGAGAGCAGCAGATAAACAGTATTATCACATTCAAATAACTCAAATGGAAAGTAGGGGTAAAGTATCCTGACAACAGAAAAATTGTGAAAAGATGCTACTCATGCGTCATATAATGACGCAAAGGAAAAGATAATTAGTTTGTGATTTCATGAAGAAATTCGATTTCTGGCTTTGAGGAAAGGCAGGGACTGACTGCACTCACTCAAAAAGTCAAATTTAACTCCGCTGGCCATATCAGTGTAAGCAGGCTTAGACCTGCTTTACTTTACTTTAGACTTTATTGTGCCCCAGGAGGAAATTCCTTACAGCACCGTACACATCACAGAGCAGTACACGTGAACACCAGTACACACTCCTATCCAGTGAGGCCAGTTGTTCAAAGGGAAGATTGGAATTTTTGAAGTGGGGTTGTATTAGGAACTTATCTTTAGAAAGTGTGCGCTGTATTTATAATATGTTTACCAATTTTGAATGCTCTCCTCAAAGCCATTGGATTACTTTGAAACAAATTGGAAGGTTGGTACAAATCCGAGCCTCCACAAGTTGACTGTCACATATTGATATGTCCTTGGGCAAGATACTGTACATACACTTAACCCAAAGTTGCTCAGGATGTCAAGGTAAGTCCGAGGGAATGTTTGAGAGATTGTATGAATAGTCTGCATGAGCAAGTGGGACCTTGTGCGGCAGCCTCTGTCTGAATGTGTGCAAATCGGGAATGCTCATCTACTATATGTAAAAGTGCTTTAAGAGGTCACAAATACGGTGGCCGACAGGGGCAAATGCGCTACAACGGTCCAAAACATTTCCATAAGGAGAAACGCAATGCAGTTTCAAAAACACTGGAAATGAAAAAACATGAATGAGCCAAAACACATGCAAATAAAGAAACATCTTCACCTACTTAAAAACACATGTGCAGTGTTAACTAAAAGCGCTGCATAAACAAAAACTCTGCAAATAAAAAAACCCTGCAAGAAGCTAAAAACACAAAGAAAATCAGGGGACACTAAAAAGTGATGCACACACTGGCCAACTGTCACTGTCAACCTCAAATGTACGTTGTATTGGCTTATTTAAACAATGTGTCTGCACAATTCCTCCCGATATTATTGCAGATCTGATATAAGCTAGTTAGCTAATGTAGCTAACCTAGTCATTTAAAATATACTGACAAAACACTTACAATTACAATTATGAAACAGACTAACTCTGCCAACACTGACAGTTGGCCAACTTTATAATCGCTGATGCGCTCCGGTCCCAGCTGTGTGCATCATGCATGTGTTGGCAGGTTGGTGAAGATGATTCTTGATTTGTATATTTTGACACGTTTGTGTTTTTTATATCTGCATCACTTCTGAAGCTGCAGCGTGTTTCTCCTAATGGAAGAGTTTTAGCCCGTTTGCACCTGTTGGCCACCGTACACAAAGACTGATAAAGCAATATATAAATGCAGTCCACGCAAATAAGAGAAAGGAATAACTGGCCTCTGATGGCAAGGAAAAGTGTTAGTGAAAATATTCTGATCTCATAAAACCCCACCTTTAAACATATTTAATATTTTTTACGATAGCTATGAATTCTAGGACATGCCTTTTAGTTTAGGTTAGCCCTTCAACACATGAGGTGGTGATTATGTGGCTAGATACAGTCTATATTAATTACCGGTTTTAGCGGCCTTATTGTTGAGCTCTGTGAAGTTGGGTGTGGGTGGTTAATTATACAGGCGGGGTTGTTGGCTATGGGTATGTGAACAAAAGTAAAGACGCAAGAGTAACTCCAAGGAGGCCCTATTAAGCTTTTGGGGATGTTCCCTTTCCTGTACTGTGCTTTTTATGTGAATGTAAAGGCTAAAATCCCTGTGTTCCCTGTGTTCCCTCTAGACTTCCCCAAGCTAAGACGGCTCCATTGGGCTCCTTTATTTTTTCTTCTGTTACATGAGGACATCCCTATGTAACACTTGCTTCTATTGGCTAGCACTTCAACACATTGTATGTGATAGGCTAAGGGATATCAATCAGGGCAGACTGGGCTCTGGTTTCAGACAGAGGGTGAAAAGAGGTGCTGCAGCACAGGCAGTATGAGAAAAATAAAGAGCTTTTTGAACATTAAAGCATGTGGACATGTCACAGTAGGGACACTAAATATAAAGATGAACCTGAATTTAGCCGAATGTGTCCTCTTTAAATTTTCAAGTGAAAGAACCACAATGTTTTTGTTAAGGAAAAGTAAAGTATTGGCCAAACCAAAGCAGCACGAGAGCGTCCTATCTCTTTTATCTGCTCTCTTAATCTTTCTCAATTTCCTTTTCAGTGACACAAAATGCACGACCCCATGGAGTCAATGTCTGCCATGTGACCCCTGTGGACTCACTCCTCAGTTCCTGTTGTCCCAGCAGAGAGGCGTGCTGCAGCAGGCTGAGGAGGCGCGGCAGGCTGTCGGTCAAGAGGCGGCGCAGGGGGCTGTGCTGCCACAGAGCCAGCAGACCCCCCTGTTTGTGCTGCAGCAGAGCCTGAGCATGCTGGGAAACATGAAGCGGAACAGCACTCAGCTCCTGAAGCAACTCGCTGTCCCTGGACTGTGGAGAGAAGGTTGCCAAGTTCAAAAAATGTAAATGCATTTGTTGACGTAACTTATCCTGCAGTCATTTGTCTACCTGCCGTCTGAATTCCACGAGGAGATGCTGTAACGTCTTGACTCTTTCCAGCAGCTTGGTCTGTATGCGAGTGCTTAGATATTGAATCCGTTCCTGTGAAAACAAAAACATATTGAACAGATTCTGAATGATTTTAACTTATTATTCTCTTCACGGATCAACTCTATGGAATAATAGAATGATTACATTTAATGGGGAATTGTTACGAGGAAGGCATTTTCTTTGTTTATGATCTGTCCGATTGCACTGGTCACTTTATTTCTTGCACAACTTGAAAATACAGACATAACAGATACAAAAGGTATACATTGCAGGATGAGGCAGAAAACCAAATGGACTTATTTGAAGCCTCCAGCTAAATAAAGTTAAAATTCCCAATGTTATATAGAACACAAGGTTAATATACAAACCAATAATAAGAATTCACAGTGACGGCATCACTACCTTTTTAGGTATCATTTCAATTATATAATAATTATAGTAGAATCGCTGATTCAGTTAATTAAGAATATGTGTATGTTTTCTATTGACAGGATAAATGGTCAAATTGGTGATTAATGATTAAATAATAAAAAATTCAATTACTTATGTATTTGTGCTGCGGTTTGAACGGGCTGAAGCCAGATATGTAAACCATTATGAGTAAAGCACATTCTGGAATTACGATAATGGTTTATTTTCCACAATGTAAAAGAAAATGTTATTTAAAATAGTGAATAACGTTCGATGGGTTGCAGAGTTTCTTAGATATTGTTGAAATTATAATTATACTAATAACATTTGTAAAGCGGGGAACGAAACTTTCGAAAAAAATGTATGCCCAGCCTCAAATATATTTTTTCGTTAAATAATAAAAAATTTGATATAATACAAGATAAATGAAAATCAGACTTTTGACCAATAATTTCACATTTTTGTATTCACTTTTTTAAATGTCTCTATTTCTGACATGGTTAATTTGATAATTACTTTTTTTACAATTACATATCTACTGTCAACCCAGTCTCACGGCATTTCGTGTTATAGTCACGAAATTAATCTATTGATTCGTGTAACACAGAACGATTTTAAAAGCAATGTATTTCTATTGGTAGTGTG